TTAAAAACATTTAAAAAAAAAAAAAAAAAAAAAAAAAACTATGAAATACATATTGTTGGGCTTAATGATCCAAAAAACACAACACATGAAATTATTGCCCATTTCCATTGTCATTTATCCTAAACTTTAGAGTGGAATAAATGAACCTTTTGCCACAAAAACTAATGGATTCAACAGCTTCTCTCATCCAATTATATGAGCTTTCTTGATCCTAAAATACTTGTTTGTAAAAGAAAAAAAAAGAATCAATACAAATTAAAAAATAAAAAAAATAGCATAATCAATCAGCCTTTTATACCTTTTTTGCATGTGAAATGCTAAAAATTTCTAAATTTGAATGGGAGGTTATTACTTTATCCATCACTTTAATTTCTTAACCATGTGCTCCATTTGAAATTTTAGAGAATCCATGGATTTAACATAATTGTGCTCTTGGCCGTTAATGGAAAGGGGGGACAGCAGAAGGAAGTCTAATTTTGCAAACGAAAAAGAGCTTACGAGAATAAACTCATGATTTGATCAATGGAACTTCTTCATAGGGAATCTAAACATAACAGATCGACATGAACTTGATCTGAATTTACTTTTATGAAGATTCACAAACTAGAATCGTAAAATTATAGCAAGAAATCGATATATATATATATATATATATATATATATATATATATATATATATATATGTATGTATGACATGAAATTACTTGCGGAGGAGAGGGAGTAGAGAGAGAAATCTGGCAAGAAAGCTGAGAGAAAGTGCGCGGGCATGATGTGCAAAAGAGTGTGTTTATCAGGTAGAAGGTGGGGAGATGGAAGAATCCATACCAGGAGAAGAAGAAGAGCTTGAAACCAAGTTGACTATGGCGCTCATGACTCGGATCTGCATTTCCAGAGCGGGTATGTAATCGGTTACTTCATCCAGAATCACCGGCAGCGGTTGCTTTCTGCATCCGGGAACCAGCCGGCCGAGAAGCCGAGCTTTACTCTGTATAGTTGGTAATCCCTTCCCTCTCAACCGGAAAACGCTAACTCGCGGCTTCTTCGTTCGGCTGTTTCCAGTCGCATGAGCCTTCTGCCGGTTGTGCTTTCGAAACTTGAGTTTGAGACGGTTCGTCAAGATTGCTCTGCTCCACCTACTTCTTCCTTTCGCCGTCATGGCCAGAACTGTATCAGACGCCTCCCGCACAGCTCGGCCGCGGCGCGGAGTCTCGTTTGGTGCCGACTCGGAAGAACTGATCCTGACCTGACTCAAGGCGCGCAACAGCTTCGAGGAGTAAACTTGATGCTGAGCTTGTGATTTCCACTGGATGTGATCCTGACCTTGACGATCATTTTCCCTCGCCGCTTTCTTCTTCTTCTTCTTTCTGGACGAATCACGCGATCGCTCAGAACTCGCCACAGGATTTAGAATCATAGACGACGCCATTAAAAACCAAACACCGATCCAAATTCAAGATACTCTTCACTGCCGGAACTAACAAAACCTTTTTCCAAAACGATTCCACAACGAATTGTCCTCTCCGAATACCGTAAGGACTGCCTTCCTCACCTAACAGATCAAATCAAATCCTCCTAGAAGAGAAAAAAAAAAAAAAAAAAAAAAAAAA